GACGTGAAAGTGATGGAGTGATGTATCGTACAAATAAGGGCGTAGAGACGGTGAGAAAAGGAAAATGATAGGGGCTACGTACTTCATGACAGTCACTCTCTAGTTTTCAGGCTCGTTGCCTTGAAGTACTTCTTGCTCTGACCTTAGGACTTATAAGTTCTTTGGTTTGCTCCCTGTCATCGGCGTTACCACCGCTCCAACTGGGCTGCTACTAGTTCTCCCTTCTCTGTTCTCGATCTCCAGGGACCAACGGCATAACGGCGGTGTTGTTAATAGCTTCACTACTGTCCCATTTGACCCTCCACACTTAGACACCTTGTGGCCTCTGGCACAGTTATACGGTGTACATGATCTTAACAGGAGCAGGAAATGGCTGCATTTAAGTCAAAAGAGCTTTGATCAATGCATAGAACCTCAATGCTGTAAATGAGCCTTCTATGACTTTTGCATATATAATTCCAGTGCTAGCCAGGGCCGGTAGAAGTGAATATTTGCAAGAGTATTGCGAATTTCAGTAAAAGTACATGTAAATGTGATGAACACTCACCGCTGACCACAAACGAAGAATGTACTTTTATAAACATGCCTCCCACTCACAGCCCAACCACGTCAAGGATATGGTGTCCGTCGATCAAAAAAGCTTTCATTACTGAAGATAAGTTGGTCTGCTCTATATAGACAAGCATAATTGAGTCAAAACTGAGCTTGTTTGTGTGCATCACATTCAATTGCAACTTTTGTTATCTATGATGTGGGCGGATTGGATGGATGGATGTTATATGTTATGCAGAGTAACAAAGTACTTTCTTAAGAGTATAGCCACTAAACTTTAAGATGCACCAAAGGGTTGGAGTACTTGCAATTACACCATACTTTTCTTCTAACTCTCTCCGGATTTCATCCAAATACATGTCTGGAGTATGCATTAACAGTTCATGAATAAACTGGTGACAGAGTGAGAACAAGAAGGTTTTTCCAGCAACAATAACATACTCTGAGATCCTCAAAAGAAAGTATACACTGTTAAAGGTATGACTGAAAACAAAGTGACCAGATTGGGGATTGAACCCAGGACCTTCTGGTTATATTCCAGATGCTCTAACCACTGATCTATCCAACCATGGTTCAACCAATGAAGTTCCAATATTTGTGGACATAGACAATCCAACCAACACTTAATAGTTGATTGATGGATATTAGTAGCATTAACATCTTGAGTACTTCATAAGAGGATCAAGATTGGCAATCAATCTCAACATATGCTTCCTTCCTCAATGCCTCAGTTGATGACCAGGCCCATTTTTACTTAGATGTTCTGCTAGTATGTGCTGCATAGTTCTTTTCCGGCAATTCAATTTATGAATGATTTCACCCAAGGTACTGCATATTTTCTAAAGGTATATGACAGTTTTTCAAAGGTTGTTGGATAGTCAATGACCTCTGGTCATTGGTTGGAAAACAAGATCATGAGCAGAATGAGAGAGAAGTGTCTGAGGCTGTGCCAGCTCACAACCTCACAATCTTACCTATGGGGCACACTTCACAGACCCTATATGCATAGCATATCTCAAGGACAGCTCAAACTGGTGTGTATTTCTGAAGTTATCATGTTTCGGAAGTTGAGGAGGTGTTAAGATCATGCGGAGAGGTCTTAATACATGTGGTATACATAGTTCCAACCACCTATGACAATTATCCTGTCATAGTAGCCTTTTGGCTCAGTTGGATTTCGTGTTAGTGGTTGGGCATGAATTTCACAGTACTGTCAAGACCAGGCTCGGCGCTTACTGCCAGTGTCGGCTTTCCAAAGATCTGGGACTTATTGTAATCTTTATTTTATTGTTCTTTCTCGCTACACATTCCCTTTTGCCTTAGTCTAGTTTTATTGTCTTATTCCTTACCCTGACGGTACTAAACATACAGCCTCTATTAGTTAGTCTGGCGCTTCGCTCCGAGCCGCCGAGTAGTTGATATAAATACTCCTGTACTGTACTTTAGTTCCTCAGTTTAATTATCAACTTAGACCAACCTAGCTTATCCTCTCCAACTTGGATCACCTTAGATCCTCGTCTCTTGCCTTTGAGTCTTCAGGCTTGCTGCCTCGAAGTTTGCCTGACTCTGGCCTTAGGACTTCAACGTTCTTTGGTTCGCTCCTCGTCGTCGGCGGTATTGCCGTGTCGGCTTGGCTGCTTCTAGTTCTATCCTTCTCTACTCTCGATCTCCGGGGACTAGCGGCATAATGGCGGTGTTGTTAATAACTTCACCACTGTCTGTTAAGATTATGTACCCTGTGTAACCATGCCAGAGGTCACAGAGTGTCTAAGTGCGGAAGACGAGTGGGAAAGTAGTGAAGTTATTAACAACACCGCCGTTACGCTGTTAGTCCCCGGAGGTCAAGAGTATAAAAGGAAGGAGCTAAGTAGCAGCCAAGTCGGAGCAGCGGTAGCGCCGGTGACGAGGAGCGAACCAAAGAACTTATAAGTCCAAAGGCTATAGAGATAGTACTTCAAGGCAGTGAGCCTGAAGACTTAGAGGAGCACAGAGTTAAGGAGGGAATCTAAGTCGATAATTAAACTGAGGAACTACAGTAGCGTACAGGCAGTATTTATATCTACGGATCGGCGCATCGGGGCAGAGCGCCAGACTAACTACTAGGAGCTATACGTGTAGTACCTGCAGGGTAAAGTAAAAGACAATAAAGGAAGACTAGAAGGAATGGGTATGTGTAGCGAGAAAGAACAATAAGGAGAAGATTACAATAAAGGGTGAATCTCGGGATACCGAACGGCGGAGCAAGGCGCCGAGGCATGGACTTGACAGTATCCCCCTCTTAGGCTTGAGCCCTCGAAAGCCGTTAGTGTCGGTTTTTTCTATTAGTCATCAAGGAAAATTTTCCGGAGGCCGTCAGCATCGGGATTTTATCCTTTTAGTCAGCAGGAAGGAATTTTTGCTGGTCCACCGTATGCCAATTACAATTTGAGGATTGACCTGGTCTGTGCGCAATTTTGACCCTATAAAGCTAGGCGGGTTTTCGCCTTGGACCTCCAATCCAAAACTTCTAAGTCCTCAAATGTCTACTAGCCGCACTATTACTCACACCACTTCTAACATCGGCTCCATCCCGGTCACCGCTGGGAATGGTCAACAACCACCGGCGCCAACTCGCCCAACGACGCCGAGTGCTTCCGACAAGGAGCGGGAGCTGGAGGAGCAGCTGGAGCGCAACCGGGAGAGGTTGCAGAAGTTGAAAGAGAAGAGGAAGGCCGAAGAGGCGGCCAAGAAGAAAGCAGAGGAGGAAGCAGCTAGGCAGGCTGCAGAAGAGAAGAAGGCAAGGGAAGAAGCCGCCGCTCGGGCCATTCAGGCCAGAAGAATGGAGGAAGAGGCAGCGGAGAAGAGGAGGAGGATCGCGGCGGCGGCGTCGGCGGCGGCGGCAGCGAGAGGTCGCCAAGGGCCTGCTCCGGGTGAGGCCTCCACTTCTCGTAGACAAGTGGAGGTAGAAATTCCTAGAGTGGTTAGGAAGGGAAGCAGTAAACAGAGTGTGGAGGTAAGTACTTTCGATTATCCGTTTGTTACTAGACCGGAGATCCCGATGACGGCGATGATGGGAGCGACGATGGGGATGACGAGGATGAAGAGGATGAAAAGGCACCCTGCGAGCGGTGTCACCTCAAGAAACTTCCATGCCTACCGCAAGAGGGCAAGAGACACACGGTCATCTGCAAGCCGTGCCACGACTCGAAGGTACGGTATTTGTATTCGGGCCGTCCGGTAGCAACAAGGCGAGAAGGGGGATCCGGAGAGAGATTGGCTGTCATGGAGAGCCAGTTGGCCCAGGGGCTCGCCGACGTTTGGTCATTGCGGGAAGCAACGACCAGAACGAATCAATACCTTCGGCAGATCCTAAGAAGGCAGGACGAGGTAAATGGCCGATTGATTGCCATTGAGACAAGGCTGTCAATGGCGGGGTCGGCGACACCGGGGCCGTCCAGGACAGTGTCAGTGAAGCCGAGGGTTCTGAAGAGAAGGAGGGTAGAAGAGGAAACTGAGGAAGAGTAGGAAGAAGAAGAATAGGAGAAGGAAGTAGAGGTGGAAAGAGAAGAAGAAGAGGAAAGAGACGAACCGGCACCGAAGAAGGCCCGGTCGGAGAAAGGAAAGGAGAGGGAGGAGTAGAGTAGAGTAACAGACAGCGGACTTCGGCCCTTTGGCCAAATCTTGTAGCCTTCTTGTAACCTCTTGCCCTGCTTCACCTATTGTTTTCTTTTGCCTTTTTGTATATACACAATGTTATCCACTCTTAAAATCGGAAGTCGAATGGGCCGTGAAGCGGCGGGAGAAAAAAATTAGTTCGAAGTATAAGTAGTTGAAGTGTGAGTGGAAAGTAAGTGAAACAGTAAATAAAGAGACTAAAATAAGCAATTAAGAAAGAGAGGTAAACACTCAATTTGCTATCATCGTGTTTATCCTCTAAACACACCAAGTAAACTTCGGCGGAGCATGGCGAAATCGGAGAAAGAATAAAATGTTTTTTGTGATCAAGGTCCAGGCTTGTGAGGGTATCGGGCGTGGAATGCCGGTACAAGTTCATCAGCGTGTAATTCATCAGCAGCAACCCAAGAGAATTCATCATCGGTACCTTCGTAACTGGCCCACCGAATATAATAACGCAGAGGACAACGTTTGTACCTTCTGTCCAGCTTGGAGTCCAGAATTTCGGCAACGTTGTACTCCTCTTCACCATCAACTTCAATTGGAGGTGGAGGAGATTGAGTTCGATTCGGGAACGGGTTCGGCGTAACCGGCTCCAATTGTGAGACATGGAAAACCGGATGGATGCGGCGAAGATAGTCCGGGAGCTTGAGCTCATAAGACAAAGTACCAGGTCGACTGATGACCTTGAAAGGACCAAGATATTTTTCAGAGAATTTTTCAGTAAGGCGAGTAGATTGAATATGCTTAGCAAGAACAAATACTTTGGAGCCGATTGGGAACTCCGGGTGCGAGATTCTTTTCCTATCAGCTTGTTCCTTGTAACGAGATTGAGCTAAAAGGATTTCCTCTCGAAGGAAGACGTGGAGTTCATTGAGGTTGACGACGAAGTCTCTAGCTAGGTCAGACTTCATGTCGACCTCGGGCCGAGCGGTGATATTTGGGTGGTATCCTTTGTTAGCAAAGAATGGAGTAATACCTGTGGAAGCATTGGGAGTGTTGTTATAGGCAAACTCGGCGATTGGAAGTAAAGGCAACCAGTCATCTTGTTGATAGGAGCAGTAGATCCTGATGTACTGTTCGAGAGTCTGATTGACATGCTCGGTCTGCCCGTCGGCTTCCGGATGATATCCAGAGGTATAGTGAAGTTCCATGGAGAGCACTTTACCGAGGGCCCGGAAAAACACCAAAACAAATTCAGAACCACGATCAGAAGTGACATGATTAGGAACACCATATTTAGAGAAGACGTGAATAACAAAAAGCTCAGCTAGTTGTTCGGAAGTAATGGTGTCGTAAGTTGGAATAAAGATAGCTTGCTTGGAAGATCGATCCACAACGACTAGAATAGCTGTATAACCATTCGACATTGGCAGTTGCTCAATGAAGTCCATGGAGATGGAATCCCATGGTCGGACCGGAACCGGCAGAGGTTTCAACAAGCCGTAAGGCCGATGACGGCGAGGCTTATTGTGACCACAAATGGTGCAAGAAGTAACATAATCACCTACGAAGTCTGTGACCTTGAGCCAGGTGTATTGACAATGTACAGCTTCTAGAGTGCGGTTCTGGCCGAAATGGCCGGAGAGTGGATGATCGTGAAAGTAACGAAGGACTTGAAGGCGAAGATCACCGTGATTCGGAACATAAATATGGTCGTCAAGGCGTAGTAGCTTGTCACTACCTAAGCTCCAACGTTCATTGGAAGGATCTTTTGCAAGTTCCAAACCAACAACGGAGCTCGGGTCGGCGGGAAGAGCGAGAATGATGGCCTGGTGTAGGGCTTCGATATCCATGATGATCGAGGCTCGTAAAGCCGGGCCTTCCAGGAAGGTAGCTCGAAGGGACGCAGTGAGTTGTTCATTAGTAAAGATAGGATGGAAATTATGAGGGTTCACTTGGGCGTAGCCGATA